GGGTCGGGGGGGACTGGGAGGGGGGGGTCAGTCCTCGAGCACGATGGGCTCCGAGGTGCTGGCGGGGTGGGGGGCGGCGGGGGGCGCCAAGGCCCCCCCCGGGCGCAGGGGCAGCCCCGGTTTCACCTTCAGGGGGAGGTTGGGGCGCCGGGCGGCCCGGCGGAGCTCCAGGTGTGTCAGAGCCTTCCGCAGCGCCCTGGGGAAGGGGGGGGACGGACACAGGAGGGGTCACCTCAGGGAGCCCCCAAAAATTCACTGAGACCCCGCGGCTGCGTGGGACCCACAATTCCCGTGTGTCCCCCGCCTCAAGAGTCCCAAATTTCCTCTACTGGCTGGCCCTGGTGGCCGTGACCACCATGGAGTCTGGGAATCCCCAAACCTCCCAAGGAACCCCCAGACCCCTTCGGGACCCCCTCAAACCTCCCCATACCGGGTGCCTTTGGTGGCCACGAACACCCCTCTCACGACTCCCTCAGACCCCTTCAGGACCCCCCTAAACCCTCTCAGAAAATCCCCAAATCCCTTGCGACCCTCCCAAACCCCTTCAGGACTCCCTCAGACCCTTTCAGGACACCCCTAAACCCCCTCGGGACCCCCAAACCTCCCTATACCGGCCGTTCTCGGGGGCCACAAACACCCCTGGGACACCTCAAACCCTCCCACATTCACCCAGGACCCCCCAGACCCCTTCGGGATCCCCCCAGACTACCTCAGGACTCCCCCAAACCCCCTCGGGACCCCCCGAACCGTCCGTACCGGGTGTCCTTGGTGGCCACGAACACCACGGGGTTCGGGGCGTCCGCCGGGTTCAGTTTCTGCCGTTTGGTTCCGGGGGGAGGCGCGGGGCGCAGCGCGGCCGCCAGGGGGCGCCCGTTGGCCGAGAACGGCAGCGCCGCCGTTCCGACCTGCGCGGGAGCGTTAGCCCCGCCCCCCGACCAATCACAGCCCGCCGCGCGCGGCCGCTAGCCAATCACAGCCCGCCAAGAGCTGTCAGTCACTTCCAACCCCGCCCTAATCCCCAACGCCCCCGTCAATCAATCCCGGGCCCCGCCCACAAACTCCCACCGGACCAATCCAGTTCCAGCCCCAACGGCCCTGGCCCCTGTCAATCATCTCAAGCCCCACCTCCACAAACTCGAGTACCTGTCAATCACCCCAGGCCCAATGCCCACAGGCCCCACCCCCTGTCAATCATTCCCCCCTGTCAATCATTCCTCCCTGTCAATCATTCCCCCCCGTCAATCATTCCCCCCCTGTCAATCATTCCCCCCTGTCAATCATTCCCCCCCTCCCCTCCCCATCCCCCGTACCCTCATGCGGGGGGGTCGGTGGCCATCACCCCCCGCCTCGTAGCCCCTCTTGCCCCCCAGCCCCGCCAGCCCCCGGCTCTGGCTCAGCTGGTTCCGGTTGATCGGGGTCTTGGTGCCTCGGGGGGTCTTCGGCTTCAGGGGGGCTTGAGCCGCTGGGGGGGGGGAGCAGGGGGGTCAGGGGGTGTCCCCCCAATTCCCAAAATCCCATCCTGGGGTCACTCCCCTTTGTGAACCCACCACCCATGGGGAACCCCCCCCCAAA